TTTTTTCCGGAATTTTCAGAAAAGTCCACTTTCATCTCTGGGTGTTCTAACCTGTCTTAATTTTCTTATTTTAGTATATCTCAAATGAAATGCTCTCACAGCGTATTTGAATGGACTATTATAGGACTATACGAGCCCAAGAAGCAAAGGGAACGTCTTTTGGTCGAGCGCGTCAGTCTGATTCAGGTTGTCATGAGACAGAAGGAGAGAAGAGTGTTTACTACAAAACAGAAATAGTAAAACAAATTAGGGATGGACACTTTTGGAAAATAATCTACCAGGAATTGCAATTTTTTTCCTCCTCAATATTGCTTTTGCGATTTAAAATGCAATTTTTTTGGAGGCCCTTTTCTAATGACTATTTGAACAAACACAAGCAATGAATCAATCTGAATTACAATAAACAACAAACATTTTGTCAATTAATCAACTGTGTAATGTGTTACTCAAGTTTAAGTTACTTTTAAATTACTTTTTAAAAATGTCACCAAAATTCATATGCACACGGATACAAATATAATCCTCGTCTGAAAATATTAGAACAAAATTTGCAATATTTTGGATTATATTAACATGACGTTCCATATGCATCTGATTGAGGCTTTCACAAAATTTGTATCCACCTCACTAGAAATTCAACTGTATTTATTTAATTATGAACAAATACAATTATTTTAAATGACCCAAGTTCACCTTGAGCTTGAAATTGAAAATATAGTTCAGTATTGTTGTAAAACACAAACACGTGTAGTATGGTGGGAGTGTATTTTTTTGGAGTCTGTCTGGTTCGTTTAAGACCATGAAATGGGCGTGTGCAGTGGTGTTCCTCGCCGCATCTTTTTAGGAATGCCTACATCTGTCGGCCAATCAGACGACAGTGAGTCCCAGCCCTGCTCGGCCTCATTTTCGAACCAGGTTGGACTGTAGTGATGCAGAGATGTTAAAAACATTGAATCCCAAAATAGCATTGATTCATGGCCATCGTGCTTGCGCGTTTCTGTCTCAATAATCTTCCGATCCCTAATTTCTTTCAAGCTCAATGGCTCAAGGGAGAAATAATTTACTTGAATATGGCAGCAGGCTTTCTGTTATTAATGTTGTGAATCGTGATATACTGTACATCTTACATTAAAGTTCATAATGGTTTTAAAAAGTCAAAAATGTTATTTGATGAATCGGAATTCTCAAAGAAATTGTCCAATTAGTACATAGATGTATGCTGATACATTGCATTCAGCAACGTTGTGATTCTTTTCCTTTCATTTTTTTTTCAGGTGAAATGTATTATACTGCAATTGCTGAGAGGCCTGCGCTATCTCCACCACAATTTTATCATTCACAGGTGAATGTCAATAGTTTTACTTTGCCTCTTCAAAAAAGAAAAAAAAAGCAAATTTTATCTTACTTAAACTCCAAGTCAGAGAGACTTGGATGTTTCTCTCTTTGTACGCTTACAAACAAACTCAATCCCTATTGAAGCATCGCTGGTTTAGCAGAGAGCAAATCTTCCAGTGAAAGTAATCTGCGACGATGTATGTGATTTTGACCAAGAGCTTGAAGCTGTACAGCAGTGCTTATCAATTTTTTTCTGTTACACACACACACGCACGCACGCACGCACGCACGCACGCACGCACACACACACACACACACACACACACACACACACACACACTCTTCTGCTGCTACAATAGATAATTTGTCTCTAAAATTCATATAAGTACACCTCTGCATTACATTGTATCCTTATTAACATTAAATTAAAATGAAAAGAAGTATTAATGTTTTTTAGTCTGTAACACACAGGTGCCAAACTCAAGGCCCGGGGGCCAGATCTGGCCCACCACATCATTTTATGTGGCCCGCGAAAGCAAATCAAAGATGTCATCTTTCAAGATGCTAGCTGAAATCTTTACCAAATTTCAAATTCTCATTTGTAAACAAGAAGAGTGATACTGTAAGCATTTTTTTGATCCAACCCACTCATTACAGTAACTTAAACAGTAGTTGAATAGACCGTTATTCTTGACTTTTTTATATGGTTTCAGTCATAACGGCCCTCCATGGGAAACTGTTACTAAAATCAGACCCGCGACAAAAATGAGTTTGAGACCCCTACAGTGCAACAGAAAAGATTTTAAATGCATCAATTTGTCTGAAAAAAAAAATTGGAGAGGGACTATAATGACTGGTGTTTATTCTTCTGATGTTGTTGAGGCTGGTCACCATTTGGAAAAAATATCCCCAAAAAGAAAACCACAAGGAATCCACAAAATGCCATAGAAAAAGCAAAATATGCAGTAAATTCTTTGTCGCTTGTTGAGTAGCATTCCAGTGAGATTAGATCTTGATTGTCTGGCTGTTAAATTTTGTTTGACTTCAGAAGCAAAATTCCCTCTCAAATTATGGTCAAATCCTGAATGCACAATTCAATAGAGACGTTGGACTTCATTATTCCACAATAATTTATTGTCATGAAATACATATACAAGCATCACACGGCATCTTAATCTGCATGTTAACCAAACACGGGAATGTATTTGAATGAAACACGATGAGCACGTTTTGCAGTGCACAACTTTTCCCAGCGGCTTATCGCTTGAGGTGTAATGTCGTCAAGCGTCGCCTTGATTTATTTGGCTTCGTGCTGTCCGCAGCTAGTATTTTTCCACATAGTCAACACGTCCTCGTCCATCTCCCACTGTAGTCAAAGTGAAGCCAAGCACTCCATATGCTTCCCACATTTCCTTGACTTAGCTTTCGGCTCATTTTCTTTTGTCTCATTATCTTCGTCTCTCCAAAAACAATCTTTATTTATCCCACCATTTTTCACAACAATACAACATTGTCTTCAAACAGAGGAGTGCAAAAACAAAAAGCAAAAATAACAAATAGCAAAGAAGGAGCCTATATTGGTGTCAGTTTGTGTATTACCAATAAACACCTTTCCCTGAACCTCAGCTATTTCCAGTTTTTCATCCAGGAGTGACAACCATTGTTGCATGATTGAGCTTCAGTCTTAAGATAGCTTGCTTTGTTCTAGCCTTTTTTTTTGCCACCACCACCAGAACTTTGACAAGGTAGGATTCAAAGACTTTTAACGGCGAGTCATTTTCCATATTCAGTAGCTACAGTATGTATGTTTATAAGGTTACAGTATGTGTTATTTGTGTAACATTATTTTTTCACATCTGGCTGTTGTGGGTCACATTCAGTCAGTAATATAGAATAATATCCAATGTTCAGCAACTGCATTTTCTGTCATCATCCATTTGTAAGCCTTGAGGAAAAACAATTCAATATACCATAAAAAGTAATATCAAATATGCACTCAAACTGAGACATTCCATTTGAGTTGTTCACTCGTTGATCAAGATTTAATGGTCAGGTAGAGTTCCAGGAGCTGGCGTTTGGGGTATCCACACATCTGTCCCTGCTTGGACCGAGGAAAGTGTTTCTGGGTAGTTAAGTCTGTGGCAATGAAAGTGTCATATTGACCCACTCTGTTTTATTTTCAGGGACCTAAAGGTGTCTAATCTGCTCATGACAGACAAAGGATGTGTTAAAATAGGTAAATCAGCATACTTCCATCACTCACAATCAGCCCAATGACTCCATTCGAGAACCTGCCTGATTAAAAAAAAAAGTTGCTGTTTTTCTCCTTAAAAGGCTTTTCCAAATAATAAATCAAATTGTCAAGACAAGCAAAATGTCTTTTAATGTATTATTTAACATAGTTTACAAACTTTGCCCTCATCCACTGCTGCAAGCCACTGCTCAAATGACACACATTCAGAAAATATTTGTAGGTATGCATACAGTCATGTCAAAAACCTCTTGTACTGTTTTGATGTAGTAAAAGAGTAAACAGAAATACCCATAAGCGGAATCATGCCAAAAAAAATGTTGGCAAGGATTTGGATAAAGGCACTAAAGCATCCCTTGTGTCAATCCCCAATACTTGATGTCAGCGATATGCATATCAAATCATTTTACAACCCCCCCACCCCCAATGTAATAATATAATACAATGCAGCATATGGATATGCCATATTTTCACAAAGAATCAGAAGAGAAGAAGGACTATTTTAAAGATAGTACAGTGAAACTCCTCTACAACGAAATCATGTTTGCAGCAAGAAATTTTTTACAACAGGGCGTTTTTCACTGTAGCAAATTTGATCTCAGATGTAAACACACACACCACCGTTGCCTCAATTTGAGCCAGGAAAAAGCCTAATCTTGAAAAATGATTTCTTCATCCTCAAGCGTTCTATGAATTGATCGGATAACAAAAGTGTCTGACATGTCAGTGTAAACTTGTGCATTTATTGAAAATGGACTGTAATGACAACAATCTCCGCAATGCCATTCCCTGACATGCAGCCCCATATGAATGACTCGGGGGAATTTGCATGTTTTACTGAGGTAGTCATCTTCACAAAATCTCATTGGAAGGGCATCGAACAAAAGTTCCAGTATCATCACCTTCCCTAATGCAGATTTGCGAATCGTCACTGTATATGACTGTCATCCACAGTCAACACTTGCTTTTCCTTAGCCCATTGTAACCTTGTTTTTGTTTGTTTGTTTAGGTGTTGATGATGGCTTTTGCTAAACTTTTCTGGATGTAAATCCCATTTTATTTCGGCGATATTCCATTTTTTTCCCCCTCTGCTTGGTCTCAAACTATAACTGTTACTAATTACCACATTTTACTTTCTTGATTTCTTTTAGTGTCGTGAAGCCAAAATGTTGGCACTTATTATCACTTTACTTTTCATTACCACATTTTACTTTCTTGATTTCTTTTAGTGTGTCTTGAAGCCAAAATGTTGGCATTTATTATCACTTTACTTTTTTGTATGCTTAGGTGTGTGTTATTTTAATTTACCTTAAACATTTATTAAAAAAAAAAGAAAAAAGCGAAAATGCCGCAAAAAGTCCACAAAAGGTCCGCATTTTCGCTTATTTTTTATTTTAATTTTTTTTAATGAATGTTTTTGAAAAAATCCGTAACGCACTGAATAAATGAACCGCGAAGTAGCGAGGGATCACCGTATATGTATCTATGATCTTTAATTAAGTTTTTAATACGTTTTATGTCTTTTATCTGTTCAACGCTCACGCACCTGCAACTCAATTGAAACTGTTTTCCTCAAATGACAACGTGTTTTGATGTTGTGAAATGTATGAGCCACAGATACCTTTTTCTCCCTTTGTCCTCAGCTGATTTTGGATTGGCTCGCAGGTATGGTGTCCCCCAACAACCCATGACGCCCAGGGTGGTTACACTGTGGTGAGTGTCTTCTGGGTGAATAACTCACACTGGAATCCGTAAGAAAAAAAAAAATACATACATCATCATTTTCTTGGGAAGTCAGTAAATTACAATACGTAGACTAGATTTTAGACTCGGCAAAAGCAGGTATAACTTGTGGTGCTAACTTGTAGTGTAATTCAATTTGGTTTAACCTGATTGGGGCACAGGCTGGAAAAATGTGGTGCTCCACGGAGGATTGTCATGGACGTAATAAATCAGTATGGGACAATCCCTCTGAATCACGGTAGAGATCGGTTCATTGAACGAATTTCAATTAGCGTTTACAAATATTTTAACAGAACCTTTGTCACTCTTGGGATGTGCGTGGGGGTGGGGGGATGTAACACACGGATGCATGCACAATCGGATGTCCAAAGCGGTCTCCAATTGCCCATATCACATGCATAGTTGAATAAATCATCCGTAAATGGTGATCTTGAAGTTTACCTGCCAATGCCATGCACAGACCCCAGTCAGTGGATTTCTGTGTGTACAATGTCAATCATGGCATCCTTTGCTGTACTGCGCTCAGACCGCCTAATTTTGATGCAAATCGGGGATGCTGCTAGGATTGACCGGTAAAAGACTTCCTCCATCCCACAAAGGCGTTAAAGCAGGGCCGCCCAAACTTTTTTGACCGAAGATATACTTTTCGATCAACCAACCTCCCGTGATGGACCCGTTACCGCGCACGCGCGAATACGCACGCACGCACACACGCATGCCATGATGAGCAATAGCCTGACGCTGAGGCACACGACGTACTTAGGCAGCCTGCTAAAGATCGTAGCTCACGCGTACCATTTTAAAATGCTTCTCTCGGACCTCCAGATTCCCATTCTTTGCCTGTCTCCCCTCGGTGAATTGTATAAAACAAACTGAATGAGAATAATGACTACGATAAAAGATATAGCGCAACAACTCTGATCACAAGCTGCAACTGCAGACTGCTTTGCACTAACAACTTCCGGTGACGCAGTCATATGTCACCGTAGATTAAATATGACCTGCTTTATTTTATTTTCTTTTTAGAATATTTTTGTGAAAGTGAGACTGATAGAATTATTAGGGTGCAGTGTGCATTAACACAAAAAATATATTCCTAACATGCACAGAGACACAAATATTTTGTTTTTTCTTCCCTCCTTCTACACCCCTCGGATCGACTTGGGACCAGTCCTTGTTCTCGTGGTCGATCGCGATCGACGTAATGGGCACCCCTGCGTTAACGCCTCATTACACCCCAATCTACCTGTGTATAGTCTAGCAAAATACCCCCCCCCCCCCAAAAAACACAAAAAAACAAAACAACACTGCACATTGCGCTGGAGCTGTCACGACTGAATATTTTTATTAAATCGATTCTTCCATCAATTAATCGAAGAATCTAATACAATTTTAATTTTTTATTAAAGTGCATTACAAATTTTTTTTTTTTTCACCAATTACTATTTATGAGCTGATTATTGTTGTATAGCTTAATGACTAAAAAACTCCAAATCATCCTTAGTGGACGCCACAAGTTTTAAATTGGATTGAGGTGTGAGGATTTAGTTGGCCATTGGTGTAGCTTGATTGTGGGTCTGGTGAACCATTTCCATAATTTTCAATGTCAGAGTATGCTTCTGCAATGAAGATGTATTTTAAGACTTTTAACACATCTTAACTAGGGGTGGCGATAATTATGGAGAACACGGGATATGCTTCTGTAGCGTCGCTGGAGGTTCATTTAGTCTTTTAATCCTCCTCACTAGTTCTCGCTCATTAGCTCTCCGTGACCCACTAAACCAGGGGTGTCAAACTCATTTCACATGGTGGGCCACATACGGCCTCGGTAGATGTCAAGTGGGCCGGACCATTAAAATGACACAATACTTTGCT